CGACTGCAGCCGCCACCACAGCAGCAGTCACCCCCGCCTAAGCCGCACCAGCTGATGGGGATGGACACCAACCCAGGAGAAGGAGCGGTCAGTATGCCAGTGAGAAGTTCCAGCAACTGGGGGCAAAATACAGTGGAGAACCACAAAAAATGGGGTTCTTCTTAGCTCAGGTCCTGAGTTACATGGAGGAATGTGACATCCCCAGTGACCATGGGCGGGTGAGGATTGTGACCTTGGAACTAGATGGGACGGCGGCCAAGTGGATGGTGAACCTCCATGAAAGAGACGCTCCAGAATTGCAGAATTTTCATGGCAGCCCTCAGGAGATGATTCGAGGATCCCTTAGCTGATCAGAAGACCAGAGACCTCATAAAAACTGTCAGGCAGGGCCAGCACTCCATGACAGAATACATGGAGGAATTCCGAGTTCTTGCCAGCAAACTTATTGGCTGGAAGAAGTTCTGGTGGGACATTTCAAAGATTGTCTTAACGACGACCTGTATTATGTCTGCATTCCCTGGGGCGATCCTGACTTGCTCCAAGATTGGTACATCCTGGCTGAGGAGGCTGAGATCAATCGAGCCAGAAGGCAATGGCGTCTGGGAGATCCTGGGGAAGATCTCCAGCAGAGGAATTCCGGGAACCGGCGAAACAGACTCCTACTACTCCCAGACCGACAGGCTGTTTCAAATGTGGGAAGGATGGTCACCACGCCACCGAATACCACATGAAGACTCCAGTTCGAAAGCCCGGTGGGGCTTTCCCAGGGGGAAACCTGGGAAAGCCCCACCGAAGCCAAAGGAAACGGCCATGAAATCATGGAGGTTGTCAAGTTCCTAACCCCATCAAAATGGAGGAGGAACTCCAACCCAGACCGGAGAACTCTTGGAATCCTTGGAGGACAGCTCAGAGGGTGGACCCATTGCACCCCTCACCAGAACTGGAGAACTGTTTAGCCCAGGGATGCCAGGGAAAAGCCCTGATAGACTCCGGCTGCACTAACTGCCTCATAAGCCCAACCCTGGTGGGGAACTTAGGAATCGCGGTGAGGAGGCTGAAGAAGCCAATTTCATTCAGCCAATTAGATGGATCCATTGCAGGGGGGATCCCGGCCACTCTCGCCATGCAATCCGTTCAGCTTACTATAGGGAACCACATAGAGACTAACGTTTGTGGTGACCCCTGGAATGGAATGCCCACTCATATTAGGCATGGCGTGGCTAACGAAATGGAGTGGATTGGAGAACTGGAGAGCTGAGATTCCCAAAGAGGAAAATCAATGCCAAGGGAGCAGCCCAGACCAAAGGGGGAGGGGTGAAAACCTCAGAAAGTGCAGCGGCGGCAGGCGAGGGGGAGTTGGAAGGCATACCAGAGGAATATCGGGATCTAGCTAAAGTATTCAGCAAAGAGAGGTCTGACGAATTAACCCCTCACCAACCCATGGACTGTGCTATTGAAATGCTCCTGGGGGCAAAGTTACCTAAACCAAAATTATACTCCATGACCCCGTGAGAATTACAAAAATTTATAGAGAAAAATCTAATAAGGGGTTTTATCCAACTGGCAAAACCAAAAACAGCAGCTCCTATGCTATTTTGCGAAAAGAAGGATGGTTCTCTTTGCTTCTGTGTGGATTATAGATCTCTCAACGTAGTGAGTGAAAGTAACCTTTACCCTGTCCCTCTGATGAAGACATGCTGGCACATTTATCTAAGGGAAAGATTTTTTCAAAGTTGGAGTTGAGGGAGGCATATTATAGAGTCAGAATTAAAGAATGGGACTAATGGAAAACCCTTAGGTTATTTACAATTCAAGGTCCTGCCATTCGGGCTTCAGGGAGCACGCGCATTATTCATGCAACTGATAAATGAGGTGCTCCAGGAACACCTCTATAAGGAGGTTCTTGTCTACCTGGATGATATCCTGATATTCATTGAGACTAAGGAGGAACATGTAAAATTGGTCAGAGTGGTGCTGAGCAAGTTGCGGGCAGTCGCTTGTACGCCAAAGTATCTAAGTGTGAATTTCACAAAGACAGAATTGATTACCTTGGATATCGCATCTCATCAAAAGGCATAGAGATGGACCTTGGAAATGTCCGGGCTGTGCTAGAATGGGCTCCGCCCCACAGCAGGAAACAACTGCAAAGCTTCCTCAGGTTTGCAAACTTTTATTGCATCCCCTCTTTTGTGCAAATTGCATTGCCCATCACAAATCTATTAAAGATTAAAGGGGAGGGGAAACTGAAGCCTAGTCGACTTTTAAAATAGACTGTAGAATGCCAAGCCGCTTTTGAGAAATTAAAGAGGTTATTCTCAGTGGAACTAGTCTTAAAACATGCGGATACTGAGAAACCTTTCATAATTCAGGCTGATGCTAGTGACATAGCGATGGAGGCAGTACTGCTTCAGGAAAATAATGAAGGGATATTACAACCTTGTGCATACACATTGAGGAAACTCACAGAGACGGAACAAAGGTGGGCAGTTTGGGAAAAGGAAGCTTATGCCATCCGGTGGGCTCTCTTAACCTGGCAACATTTCTTGGAGGGAAATAAAATCCCCTTCCAGGTATGGACTGACCATAAGAATCTGGAATCCCTAAAAATGCCCAGGAAACTGTCTCCCAAGCAGGAGAGATGGTCCCAGCATTTCCACCAATTTAATTTTACCATAAAACATTTACTAGGGGAAAACATTTCCTAACAGAAGCACTGTACAGTTACTGCAATACAACAGCACCAAAACAGAGATAACAGATCCACTCATGCCATCAAAGCAGTTAGCAGCACCAGTCACCACTCGAGCGCAAGCCAAAATCCCAAAGACTCTAATAAGTCAAGCTGGAGTGGAATTCAGGAAAGCGCTAGAAAAAGACCAATGGTTTCTAAGCCACAAAAACTTATGCACAATGAACTATGGACTGCCATGGGTGGGAGGGAAACTCTACATTCCAAAAAGCCAAAGACTGACCTTCACGCAGCTTTGCCATGACTCCAAATCTGCCGGCCATTTTGGGTTTGTGAAAACCCTCCATTTAGTAAAACAGCAATTTTGGTGTTCATAGATTTAAAAAAGGACATTGAAAGCTATGTAGCTAGCTGCCCAATATGTGTAGCAGTCAAAAGGAGACGGGAAGACCCCAGGACTGTTACAAACAGTAGCCACTTCGTCAGCACTCTGGAGGGAGATTTCTATGGACTTTATTGTGGAATTACCAGAAAGTGGGGGATATTTGTTGATTTGGATTGTAATGGACTTATTCTCTAAACAAGTACATTTTATCCCATGCCAGAAAATCCCTACCGCCAAAACTTTAGCAAGGTTATTCGTACAGCTCATTGACTACATGGAGCCCCACAACGGATTATATCCGATGGGGAGATGCTATTCACTTCACAGTTTTGGAAGACCCAACAATGTTTCCACAGCTGAAACAGGATTGGCCTGTTTGAACTGACCGGATGAACTATTGGGGTGGGGTTTGCATTTTGCTCCTTTAACCTATTGATTTGAGCGGGAAACCCTCAGATCCTGCCTTCTATGCCTGCTGTCAACTTCTTCTAATAAAAGTTCCTTTTGGGATGATTCCGTTCCAAGAGTTCTGCTTTCTTGGAATGAAGTTTTGAAGCAGGTCCTTACAGGTGCTAATATATTCAAAGTGAGTAACATATGCTGTTACTGTAATATGCTGCCCAGCAGCAAGACTGAATACAAGCCAAACTAAATGTTTGGGATTGCAAGACCTGAAAACTTAACAACAGTACAGTGTGTGCTACCTACAAAGAGTGTAGCATTTGTACCAAAGAAAATTGGTTTGTTGTGGTTGTTGTAGAAACAAGCAATGGAGGATGACATCAAACATTGAAATGATTACCTAAAATTAGGCAAAGAGGAAATGATAATTGATGTGTTCAAGGAAAATTTTTTGATCATGACAGCATCAAGCATCAAGCATGCAAAAATCAAAACAATTAAAACAGTGAATGAAAAATTGGAAAGATAAAAGGTTTGCACGGTCAAATAAAAAGCAGTGGCTTCATACTGCATCCACCAGAAATAGAACAGTAAGACTAATAATTTGCAGCTCAAGAATAGACACTAGCAAAAAATAACATAAAAACAAAAATTTGAAAAACTGGAAGCAACTTCAAATGTAGCTTATGCAAAGAAAATATAAAGCTGTTAAACCACTCAGTAAGTAGATGTAGCAAAGTTGTGGCAGAAATAATATACTGGAATGTATCTAAAAGATACGAATTTGATGGTATGTGAAAGTATAGGTATGCTGACAACATTGATAAAATGACTCAGAATGATCATGCAAAAATGTTATGAGACTTCCAAATTCAATTATACTGCAATACATCAGACATTACAGTAGCTGAAAAAAGATGCTGCTTATAGATTGATAATACCAAGTGGCAGTAGGGTATCTCAAAAGGAACTGAAAAGATTGAAAAATATTGGGGCTTAACCATAGAATAAACTGGCAAAAGTTTTTCCATAGTTACTGAAGTATTGGAAGTTACAACAATAAAATTATCAAAACAACTGAAAAAAGTAGAAGTATTCAATCTTGCAAATTCAGCTTTCAAAAATACTTTGCTTGAAACCATATTACAATAATACTTGTGTCATTCTCAGACTTTTAGATACTGCTTGAATTGATCCTAAACCATCAGCATTTGCTGAGCATTCTTCAAAAGAAGATAAATAATAATATAACTAAATCTGAAACTGTGAAGCCTTTATTATATACAGGATGTTTTAAAATATTTTGACTCTTCTTTTAGAAGTAGGCTTATTATTTGTCCTAAATCACTTTCTTGCTTTTGTTTCTCTGCCATTTTTCTAAATAAATAACGGGTACCATTGCTTCTGTGAAGTCATTGGTTCATATATATCTCTATCCTATAGTTGACCATGGGTTGTTTTTTCCTCTTATACCCCCAATATATTTATTTCTGATTAATTCTTCCTTCTTCTGTCCTTTTGTAGAGAAAATCATTAACGGGCAAGACTATGAAGTTATGATGCAGATAGACACTGAAGTAATGGACACCAGGATCCTGCATATCAAAAGCTCATCCATCCCACCTTACCTTCGAGAACAGCAGAGGAACCACACAACTTCCTTTTATCATTCTCCTCCAACCGTTCCAGAGGCAGCTCCTGCTGTCAGAACAATCACTGAATCACCCCAGTAGGCTCTCAGAATGAGGCTTTCATACTTGCTCAGAGATAGGTGACCCATGTGGGTTTGCCATGGCAGTATCAGGGGCAGTATCCTGTCTTAGACAAAAGCTTGAGGTTTCTGGATTTCAGGATTCTGTCTGCTTTTAGACCTAGCCAAAATTAATTTCTCGCCCACTCTATCTAGATTATCTGCCATCTTTGTAAGGCAATATTTATGGGCCTAAGAACTTCACTTTGTTAAAAGAAATGCTAAAATTGCAATGGGTAAAATAATGTTATTGATGGAAGTTTGGTTTCTGTGGGTTTAATTAATTCCTGGGATTGGGAATGGGCACTAAATGTCTTTACTTTCCCTTACCTTCTTAGAAATAAATATCAATTTCTTAGCAGTTTCTGAAGAAGAAATGTAGGGGCTACATATGGAATACAGGTTGTCTGTCACTAATTATTTATATTTGTTTTATTTTTAATTTCACTTTGTCTGTAGAGTTTATAATTTGCATTCTTTACTCAATCTTATTCTGGGTTTTCATTCCTGCTTCATTTTACCAGGAGGAGGAAAATAAGGAACTACAGGTTCTTGTTCAGCAAATTAGAGCTTAAGCCATTCTTTGCTGCACTCTGTATTTTTAGTACTTTTTTATTATTTTATTCAGTCTCTAGACTAAGTACTATATCCTACACTTTTCCTGGTACTTTATTATACAACAAATGCCCAGTCCAGCTGTTTTGCATTTGTTACATAAGATACAGATGTTTTGTTGATACCACCCTTTAATTATGTGCAAATTTGTAAAGTATTGTTACTGGGAAAATCTTTCTAGTGCTATTATAGAAATTAAAATTCTGTCAGAGTGTATCTGAACCAGTTTCAAGGGCACCTATTGAATGAGACTTGCAAAATTACTAATGAAGAGCTTTGTTTTGACCACTACACTCCTATTACTTTGGGCTAAATATTAAGTGAATGTACTGGAATTGGGGCAAGTGGTGCTTATTTATTAGCCAAAGGCCAGATATTCCAGAGAGAAGCTATGTTCATGTGTGCACATCTTCATGCGCTTCCTGCATGAATTTACTCATTAGAATAATTTATGTCCTCTGGTTTGGCAACAGGGAAGGATCAAAAAGAGTGTGTTCAAGTGGAAAGGCCCCAATTCATATTGAGAGCGCTAGATCAGTGAGAACAAGTTCTCTGCCTTTTCCACTCCTTCCATTGACATAGTTTATGCCCACATTGGGCATATAGGATACCCACATTGGGATGTACTTTGAGATTTTTACTTGGAATAAGGGAGGATGTGTTATCTGACGCATAGATATTTGCAGGGGGTGTAGATTCCATAGTAAAGGTAAGACTAGTGAGGAGGAAGGAGCACTTGGCTAAGTATTTGTGAAGTGGAAAAAAAAAGCTCTGAATGTAAAAGGCTTCTTCAAATAAGTGAAGAACGTATGAGTCACGGGCAAAACTTTGTGTCCTTTCAGCAAAGAAAATCTCCATTGGCTAACTCCCATTGCATAGGCATCATCTGCTTTTCTTCCCTTCTGCATGTGTGTGACCTTGTTTGATTTTCAAAATTCCACTTTCAGATCTTGCAATCCTACTTTATTAAAGATTATCACAACTTCCACAAAAAACCACTTCAGGCATTGAATGGGTATTTATGCAAATGTATAAGCAGTGTACACATATGAGCAATATAATGACGGATGAAAGTGCAAGAGATAAACAACGATAGAGTCTTCCCTGAAAAGGAATGGGCAAAATTCTGTGTTGTGGGTTCGTTCATTGATATGTTAACTTCTCTGGATAACAGATTGGGTAGGAGTTGTAATATTACTTGTGTATACTTTAAGTTGAAAATCTATCAGCTTTATTTATTTTCTGTGCTGTTATTTACACACATCAACTGCTGGATATAAGTAAGGTAAAGTCAATGATATGTAAATTTGAATATATATATTTTTGAAGTCTTTCTTCAAAAGCATCAAGAGTGACTGGACAAAACCTAACAAAATTAAAGATAACAATCCACTATAAACCAGTAGCAAAATAATTGAACAGCATAAAACTAAAATCCCTACAGAACAAGAAAAGAAACTGGCAGCACAATTAGGTCCAAGTCAACTTCACCCCATATTTTCCACCTGCTGGGCCACATTACTTGTTTGTGTTGCGTACAGTAGGCTTCTCACATGGCAAGAATCCTTTTTATTAGTTATTCTGTAGAATGCTATGAACATTGATATACAAAATATCGGAAGCACAATGCATAAAGAGAATAGCATGAAATTACTTGTTAAAATTTAATTTCTGTCACAAGAAGTTGCAGTGTACATGGAGCTAAGGATCTCAGAATTGTTTTGTCTTCAGGGACAAAATAATTCTATTTTTTTTAGAGAAAATTTGTCTGGCTCTTACTGGAAATTGAGTAATGTTTTGTAAACATTATTTGATTAAAGAAGGCGTTGTTCACTTGGATGCTGATGTTCCTTTGTGCCACAATCAGGAGAAAGCTTTTCCCTGTTAAATGTTCCCTATAGACATCCATATTATGTGCAATTTGATGCTGTAGAAATAAACAAAAAGATGTTTGAGTGTGCACTTTTTAAAAAACAGTAGGGAACAGATCAGCAAGCAGTCTACTAGAAGTTTTCTTTGGTATCTTGAAGATAAATCTTGGTAGTTATCCTGGTTTTCAGATTAATCTGACCCAAGATCATTAAAAATTTGTCAGATGAGAAGCATTTTTAGTTCAGCTAATTTTTTTCTGCATCTTATATGTTAGTGTTATAATAAAAAGCAGTCAAATTATGTTATAGATCCATGAAGCTAATTGCCAACCAAAATCTAGCAGTGGTCTTGAATATCAAAGTATCCCAGATCTAATTTTGCTAAATATATAATCTTGACTACAGTCCTTGTAAGTATCTGCTGGTGGGAAAATGTACCTTACGAAAGGAAGAATCACTAGGGTGGGGGAAAGAGAATTCAAGACTTTGAGTCAGTCAGAACTATGCTTGTCTTTATTTTTTTCTCTGCCTTAAGCATCCTTTCTTGTTTGAAAAACTCTTCCCTTTCTTGAGGGCCCTTGTTCATCTCTAGTCTGGCCAACTGTGGAAATCAGTTTTGAGCTGTTCTCCTGCCAGCCTCAGCATTTCTTCAATATTGCCTGTCCAAAATTGGCCGACTGCCTTTGGCTGAATAAATGTCCAGTGTTGCTTTTTCATTGCTGTGCTGGAAATACAATTCTTTGCAGACACTTTATTAAAAACAAACAGCCTTCCTCTTCTGAGAAAGTATATGGACAACACTTTCACAAAAGCCTAAGATATCTTGGGTGTTTTCTTTAAAGACTGTAACATCTTTAAGCAATGTTAAAATAATATCTTGCACATTAGGTTGGATCTGTGCTTTGAGTAATGATGTAAAGTAGGTTTAGTTAATTTAAGAGACACTGAATTCAATGGCCTACGCTTAACAATTTTTTAAAGTTTGTACTTAATGTGCTGTTTTGGTTTATTTGTTTGTTTTGGTAATTAAATTATTTCCTTGTTTCAGTATTGTGCTTATTTCTTTGAAACATCTGAATAAGAAATCATTTTTGTTATCTGTAATTACTGTTGGAAGAGCAATTGCATTGTCTTTTGTTTTTGGTCTTTAAACAAGACACCTGGAATCGAAATTATCCTACTACTGGGACATCACAATCAAGAAGTACTACTCTATGTTTAGATTCTCTTCCAAAAAATAAATAAAATATACATAAAGAGCTGTGGTATTTGTTTTTATATCTGCATACCATTGAATTCACCTGTTACAGGATACTATATTACTGCCTAGAGCAGTAAGGAAGGCAGTTTAATGGAACATTGGCAGGATTACGAGTAAACAACATAACTAAGAAATAAATGGGAGTTAGTGTGCTCAGATAACTTTGTGAAAGCGTTAAAAATATAAAACTGGGGACTGAGGATCATTCCCTATTACAAACTGGGAAATCATTTCAACTTCACTCTGGCAGGCCCCTAATAAGAAGTATGTATTATAGACTGCCCCAATCTCTCAAAGTCCCCCTCATCTCTTGGCTAAAGATTTCTTAGTCCATCTACCAACTATCCCTCCTTGTTCCTCCTTTTTTCCTTTCCTGTCCTCCAAGCACTATAGTTTTGCAGAATATAGAAGATAATGATTGAAGGCACCCCTCTTTGGGGAGATTACTGCTTTTCTCAACTGAGCAAAGAGCTCCAACACTGATGCTTTAGGATTACTCAGCAAATCAGAAATTGCCTTCCTAACAACCCTGGGGTAGAATGTTCAAAGCACAAACATATTTTTCACCTGCACCAGCAGCCAAAAAAACTAATACAATCCTGGCTTATATAAATAGAAGCATTGAATCAAGATCACGAGAAGTATTAGTACTGCTTTATAAAACCCTAGTAAGACCACTCCTGGAATACTGCAACCAATTTTGGTCACCATATCACAAAAAAGATGTTGAGAGTTTGGAAAAAAAATCAGAGAAGAGCAACTAAGATGATCAAAGGTCTGGAGATTAAAACATATGAAGAACGGCTGCAGGACTTGGGTTTGGCTAGACTAAAGAAAAGAAGAAATAGGGGAGATATGATAGCAGTATTCCAGACTTGAGGGGCTGCCACAAAGAAGAGGGGGGTCACGTTATTCACCAAAGCATCAGAGGGCAGGAGAAGAAACAATGGTTGGAAACTAATCAGAGTGAGAGAGGCAACCTGGAATTAAGGAGAAACTTTCTGACAGGACAATTAACCAGTGGAATAGCTTGCCTTCAGAAATCGTGGGCACTCCATCACTGGAGATTTTTAAAAAGAGGCTAAGTAGTCACTTGTCTGAGATGGTATAGGTCCTGCTTGAGCAGGGGGCTGGACTAGAAGACCTCCAAGGTCCCTTCCAGTTCTATTCTATTTGATTGTGTGGATGTTGCATTTTGTAGTCTATTATTCGTGCCTTTCAATAGATACTAGAGTGCCATCCCAAAATATGAAATAAAATCACTCTGAAACCCAAACAGAGCATTGGTTACGGGTAGGGTGATTGCTCTGCTTGATCCCATTGCAGCTGAAGGAGACCATAGCTGGGGCTCATACAGATTTACATCCCACAATAGAATTTCTCCTCGTCTCAATGGCTTCATCAGCATTGGAGGGAATGTGCTGCCAGCTCAGAGGAAGGTGCAATTCTTTCACTTAGACTAGAGGACAGCCACCCTTCATTGCCAAGTGCTAAAACAATAACCAGGCAGAAGAAGGAATCAAAAGAGATGTTGCATGACAGACCAGGAAACCAAGGCAGACAGAGCTTATTGCATTCTTTGACCAAGTGACAAAATTAGTGGATCAGAGGAATGCTGTGGATATAATTTACTTGGACTTCAGTAAGGCATTTGATAAAGTAGATCACAACCTACTACTTGATAAGATAGAAAAATGTAGGTTAGACAGCATCACCACCAGATGGATCTGTAGCTGGCTGACCGGCCGTACTCAGTGTGTGGTCCTCAATGGAACCACATCTACATGGAGGGAAGTATGTAGTGGAGTGCCCCAGGGCTTTCTTCTGGGCCCAGTGCTCTTCAACATCTTCATCAACGATTTGGACGAGGGGATAGATGGGAAAATCATCAAATTTGCAGACGACACCAAGCTGGCAGGAATAGCCAACACTCCAGAGGACAGGCTTAGGATACATGAGGATCTGGACAGACTTGAACACTGGGCGCTATCTAACAAAATGAAATTCAATGGTGAAAAAAGTAAAGTTCTACATTTAGGCAAGAAAAAACAAATGTACAGGTATAGTATAGGGGGTACCTTGCCCAATAGTAGTAACTGTGAGAGGGACCTCGGAGTCCCTTAAATATGAGCCAGCAGTGTGCTGCAGCTGCCAAAAAGGCCAACACAGTGCTAGGCTGCATTAACAGAAGGATAGAATCAAGATCACATGATGTATAAATACCACTTTACAATGCCTTGGTAAGGCCACACTTGGAATACTGCATCCAGTTTTGGTCACCACGATGTAAAAAAGATATTGAGACTCTAGAAAGAGTACAGAGAAGAGCAACAAAGATGATTAGAGGACTGGAGACTAAAGCATATAAGGAAAGGCTGCTGGAATTGGTTATGTCTACTTTAATGAAGAGAAGGACGAGGAGGGACATGATAGCAGTGTTCCAATATCTCAGGGGCTGTCACAAAGAAGAGGAAGTCAAGCTATTTTCCAAGGCGCCTGAAGGCAGGACAAGAAGCAACGGATGGAAACTAATCAAGGAGAGAAGCAACCTAGAACTAAGGAGAAACTTCCTGACAGTTAGAACAATTAACCAATGGAACAACCTGCCTCCAGAAGTGGTGAATGCTCCAACACTGGAAGTTTTTAAGAAGAGATTGGACAGCCATTTGTCTGAAATGGTATAAGGTTTCCTGCCTGAGCAGGGGGTTGGACTAGATGACCTCCAAAGTCCCTTCCAACTTTACTACTACTACTACTACTACTACTACTACTACTACTACTACTATTATTATCATCATCATCATTATTAAATAGCTGAAATTGTCAGTAATTCATTCACTAGATCACTTGTGTATGTGTATCCAAACTTACAGTCACACTCTCCTATCACTACTATCTATAGGTTTATTTAATATAATAAAAGCACATTTCAGAGGCATGTCATGATTTGCAACTCCCCCTTTGTGTCTGAATTTATTCAGGGAAAGACACTGTTCTCGCCAAATGTAAAGATACCTTTAAATGTATGCTTCCCCCAAGCAAATTCTCTGGATACATTTGCTGTTTTCCGGGATGCTTGTGGTATTCTTTCAATAATGTAAAAGCCATGTATTAGCAAAGGTGAGCAGGAAACAATTTCAACAAATGATATATTTTTAATGACAAAAGCTGTAATCGTGGAAGTACTTACGTAGACATAAGTTCAGTTGAGCAAGAGATGATTGAGGTTATGCTTGGTGAAAGCACCTTACCAAGAATGGATTGTATCTTGAAAATGTCATCATTAGGAAGGAATTTTACAGGAAGACTTCATCAATTCCCATTTGTCCACTCTTCCATACTCACTGGGCACTGGTTAAGGTTTTGGGAGAAGATGCCACATGTAGCAGATGAACAATCCTTTAATTGATTGATTAATTGAGTGATTGATTTCATACTTGGATAAACAGCATTTGCTTCATTCCCAATCTTTAATACCCCCACCCAAGCCTCTAAAATACTCTTTTACACATTCCCTCATTTTAGTTTCATCCTAGACAATTTCGTCACTTTTATTTTTAATACCATTCACTCTGTTGGCAATGGTTTGTTTAATCCATTTCATCCATTTCCAAACCAATTCCTTTGTTTCTATCAAAATCACTCTACGTTGTTGTTGATTCTTTTAATTTAATCATTTTTAACTTTCATCTGTCTTCTGCAGCTTTTTCTTTCTATACATATTTCAAATAGCTTTTTCTCATCCTCATTTTTTGCAGCAACCATGCTGTGAAATGTGCTTTTCCTCATCCAGAGCATTTTTGTCTGCGTTTTTTTTATCCAATGACTCATTGGAAATAAATTATGCAAAGAGCATCAGGATTCTGTCCATTTGCCTTATCTGTCAACAGGATAACACTCCGAAAATGGAACTGACCCATACCGAGCTAAGTATGACACTAAGTAAACACTCATTCAGTTGTTTATGCTTGCTTTTCTCCCATATGCATTTTCCTCCAAGATCCATTCTTGATGCTACCAAATGTTGCCTGTTTAACATTAAACAACTCTTACCATTATGTCCTTGCTTTGCTCAATTAATTTTTCATCACAAGCAATTGACTCATCTCTGTGTTAAACAATTAGAAGCAGAAGATTTCATGCTGGTTCAGTTTTGCCAACTCCTGGGTGTTGAATCCAGCCACTACACCAGCAGTGAGGCAAGGCAGTGCGGGGGCTAAAGGATCTGCATCTATCATCTAGGACAGGCTTCTATGGATTAAGCTGCCTGCCATGGCAGATGGGGGTTAGCACTATCCAGCTATGGATAGTTTTTCCTGTATTCCAGGTAAACAACCTTCAGAAAGAGGATTAATTTTGCAGATTCAAATCTTTCTCCCCCCCCCTTTGCAATTATCATCTGCAGATCAGAGCACCCTGAGTAGTGGAGTCATAGTTATGAACCCTTCTGTCCTCAGCCAAAGGAACAACACATCTTTCTCTCTGCCTGCAAATGATGAAGGTTATAGTATTACAGCTCCTGGAGCCTCCCAAATACCATAGAATTGCAGTCTGAACTATAAAGTGAATGTAAAAAAACCACAGCAGTTTAGGCAGGAACCCTATAAAGTCATATAGGAGCTGATAAGCAGAAAAGAGAAGCATGCAGTAACAGCAGAAATGTGAACACTGGTTTATTGAGTTTCAACACTGATATTTTATTATAAAATGTTAACTTTGGAGGGGTTTCTTATCCAAACCAAATTTTCTATTACAATAATAAAGGCAAAAGACCTGTGGATTTCCCCTTTGGGGTGTCTGCACTTGGCAGAGTTAATGAAGACAGAGGTCCCATTGTCTCAGGGTAGGCAATATATTCAATATAAAAAAGTTATACCCCAAATAAAAGGGTTGATTTGGTATATGGACTGTTCTACAGTCCAATTTTATTTTTAAAAAACTTAAAACTTTAAAACCCACACATTTACTCTGATTTATAGAATTAAAAACAAACATG